TGGCCTCTTGACTTTCAGTCTCACCGCTTTTTATCTTCACTGCTGATTCCAGATGGAGCTATGGAAAACAAGGAACAAAAGCCAGCTCTGTTCTTGGTTCACATATGTTAAGTCTAGCATTTCTGAAACAAAACTAATCTAAAGAAATGAAAAAAAAAAAAAAAAAAAAGAAGCAAAAAAACCACAAAGGAAGTCAAAGGATGAAGTTAGCATTTTTAGGTTTCTAATCAGAACTTGTTTATCTTCAGTTTGGACTGAGGCATAGGCGCTGAAAGGCTTCCCTGAGGTTCTGGCTTCAGCTCTCTCTGAGCTGAAATAAAGAGAAGCAGTCGATTCCACGGTAAGATTCAGGGACTCCACATGCCTGATTCCAGCACTCTGGGAGCCTGAGGTGGGAGGGTCCCGAGTTCAAGTCCAGCGTGGGCAACTTAAGGACAGTGTGAGAGCCTGTCTCAAGATAAGTAAAAAGGGCTGAGGTTGTAGCTCAGATTGAAGGCGCTGGCTTCATCACCAATACTGCATTAGATAAGCAAAAAGATAAAAGAAGTCCTGCTCATGAGGAGAGTTGAGTAACAAGGCATAGCGTTACAAGGCATAGCAATTAGACTCTTGCTCTGTGTGTTTTTGGATGTTCCCTTTCGCAGGAGGTCCTTGTGGACACCTGAGCAGATGGATGGATGGGAGAGATTCTGGGAAGCCTGGGCTGTGAATGCATCCTCCTCTCCTGAGGCAGGGCTGGGTGAAATCCACCAGGTTCAGCGCTCAAGTGGGGGCCTGAGGCTGGGACAACCCTCCCCCGAGAGCAGCCATGCCAACACCTGGCTGCCCCCAACCTGAGGCGCCATAGAAACAGAAACAATCACGGGGCTGCAAGGCGACCCTTCCTGCAAGAGAACAGCTCCTGACGTGCAGAGCTGGCTCAGAGAGGAAACGGGCTGGAGAAGGAGGAAACGGGAGAGGAAGCTACACCCTGGCTGTGACAGAGGCCGTGCACTGCCGGACAACAGCGCATGGGGCGGGAGGCAGATAAACACTCCTGTGCGGTGAGGCCAGGCAAGTGGCGCAGGCGCCGGGGCTAGTGGCACAGGCTGGCAAGAAACCTACTAGGGGCCTGCAATTTCCGCTCTGTCCCCAGCTTGCCCTACACATGATTAATGATGCCACTTGCTTTTGAAAGCATGACAAAGACCTTCTTTCACTACATTAACTACGACAGACAGTATGTATCACCCTATAGTGTCCAGAACTCTCTGAAAATGGGATTCTGTCTACAGCGTCTACAACTGTATTGGGCATGCAGCTATCAGGCATCTCACAGAAGCTGTGTCACTGCTAGATGAGTGAGCCCATTCCACAGGTGAATAAGCTGAGGTCACAGTCATGACACCGTCAGCAGCAAACCATTTATTCTAGACTCCAGGGCCCCTGGCTTATCTACACTCAAGAAAAACCTCATATAATGTTAATTATAGGGCCGGCAAGACAGCTCAGCAGACTAAGCGCCTGCTTAGGCAAGTGCAGGGACCAGGGTTGATCCCTGGCACCACATGCCGTGCTGGACCTGCCCCCCAGTGTACTGAGCTGGCCAGGAGACTAGGTGTGGTGGTGCACGCCTGTAATCCCAGTGCTGGGGAGGCTGAAAACAGGATGGTCACTAGGAGTATGAGCTACGTAGTGAGACCTTGTACCAAACACATTTAAAAAAATCCTTCTCCACTTTTTGGGGCTTCTGGGTTAGCTCAGTTGTTTATAATTGGGGCTTCTGGGTTAGCTCAGTTGTTTAAAATGCCTGCTTGGGCAAATTAAGTCGGGCATGGGGACCATGGTTCGATCCCCAGCTCCACAAGCCAAATGAGGCCTGCCCTCAATACAGCCTGAACTAGCCAAAAAATTAAAAAAAAAAAAAAGAGGGCTTCAGTTCCCAGAACCATATACACACAACAATAAAGACCCCAACAAAGCCATTTGGAGGTAAAAAGTAAAAAAATTTTTTTTAATTTTTTTTAAATTAATTTATTTATTTATGTGTGTGCGTGTGCGTGCGTGGCCAGCTCAGCCCACCAGGGGTCGGGGCTGGCTGGCATGTGGTGCTGGGGGATTGAACCGCGGTCCCTTGTGCTTTGCTAAGCTTGTTCTAAGTAGGTGCTTTAGACCACTGAGCCATCTCACCAGCCCCATAAAAAGTAAAATTTTAAACCCAATATTTGACTGAACTTGAGAGCCAGACTAAGGTTGCCGAGTGATCGGCTATTTCCACTCAGCTGTGTAATGTGGGCAGTTTTTCATTTTTCTGAGCCTAGGCCACCTGAATTGGCTAGGAGAAACTGACGTGAAAGGGCCGCCTCGGAATTCGGTGAGGCCAGCTTGACAAGGGTGGCAGCCAGTAAACCAGCGGCGGCGGGCCTGTGGCGCGTGTGACAGGGCTGCTTGCATCCTTGAAAGCTCTCAGAGGTTCACCATCGCTGTACGGTAAGCCCTGAAGCTGTAGCCATCCGAGAGCAATTGTGCAATTTTCATGCTACCTGAGGGCTCTTGGGGAGCTTCCAAAGGGCCATCCGACGCTGCTTTCAGTTTTGTGGCTAAACTTTGTAAAGCTAAATTATTCCTGCAAATCAGTAGAATATTTCTGCAAGTTCCTGAGCTAAAACTTTGCCTTGCATGCACAAGGCCCTGGGTTTGATCCCCAGCACCACACACACACACACACACACACACACACACACACGAAATCCTAATTTAGCAGAAAATAAGAGGTTTATGTTAATATTGCCTATACTCACAATCATATTCTTTTTTTTTGTTTGTTTGTTTTGGCTGGCTCAGCCTGCCTTAAGGGCAGGTCTGGTAAGGCAGGTAGAGGTGGGGTTTGAACCGTGGTATCCTGCACCCGACTGCATTTGCATGAGGAGGCGCTTAAACAACTGAGCTAACCAGCAGGCCCCCTAAGATTTTTTTTCCCCAGTACCAGGGATCGAACTCAGGACTTTGCACTTGTCAGGCAGGTGCCTATCCCACTGAGCTGTCTCCCAAGCATAAAGGCTGAGACAGGACAATTTTTTTTTCTGTATTTTAAGGAAGAGTCTACAGGGTGTTTAGGGTCTCACTATTAGATCGGACTCATAGTGCTTCTCCTGTTTATAGCCTCCCAAGAGCTGGGATTACAGGCATGTGCCACCATGCCCAGTCTCAATTGCCCTCTCAGCATGCCCCAGGAGCGGGGGCTGGCACTACAGGCCTGGGGATTGAACCCCCCATCCCCTGCACCTGCTTGCAGGTGCTTTAATCTGCTGAGTTATTTGGCCAGCCCCACAATCATATTCTTTCATGAACGATCTCATAAAAAAATTGCAGTGAGAGTTTTTTCATAAGTTATTTTCCTTTAGGCAGTGGGGATATGGAGGTTTGAACCCAGGGCCTCCTGCATACAAGACAAATGCTCCACCACTGCCCTGAGCTTCAGCCCTACTTGGAATGTCTTAATTTTCAAAAGTTAAGAGCAGAGCTTTGGGGGACTCCAGGAAGCCTAAGTCCCAGTTAACTGGCCACAGGACAGCTGAGCTCTCAGCTTCCTTTGCCAGGGATGTTTCTCTGCTTCACGGCACCTACACATTTTTTTGTGATTTCTTTGCTTTCCCTTTTTGGGGACGGGGTTTTGCTATGAAGCCCAGGCTGGCCTCTGCCTTGCATCTTCTGGCTCACCCTGCCCAGTGCTGAGTGAGGTGACAGGTGTGTGTCGCCACACCCAGCTTTGGGGCGTTCTTTTCTTCTCCCTATTTCAGCCAGGGTTGTGTGATCCAAGAGTGGGGTCAGAGGGACCTGGCTTTCTCTCTGGATGACTGTCTGTCCAGCACAGGTTCGCTTTATGCACACGTGTAGGTGCTATACATTCACCTACACATGTCATGATCGCGTTCTGTATGTCCAAGACACCGGCAACCCTGGGTGCGCACTGCTAACTTGCAGGTAGAAAGAAGGGAGCACAGAGGTGGGCAGCAGACTGCAGTGGCCCGCCGGAAGCCCTGTGCTGACTGACGCCTTCCCCTCCCCATGCAGAGAAGCCCAAACCAACTGAAAACCCCCAATGTTATCAATATGAGAAATTTCTGGGGTTGGTAGAGTGCTCATCTAGCTTGTGTGAAACCCGGGTTTTATCATTAGCACTAAGACAGAGATGGAGACAGACAGAGAGGCAGGCAGACAGATAAGAAGGAAAGGAAGAGGGAGGGAAAAGAGAAGAAAGGGGCTGGGGAAACAGCTTGGCAGTCTAAGAGCCAGCCTGACAAGCGCAAGGACCTGCGTTTGATCCCCGGTAGCAAATGCTGGGCTGGCCCCGGAGTCCAGGCTTAGTGGTATTTGCACTGGGGAGGGTGAAAAAAGGAGGATCACTATGAGGCCGAATGTAGCAGGAACTTGTACCAAACACATAAGTAAACAAATCTTAAAAAAGAAGAAGAAGAAGAAGAAGAAGAAGAAGAAGAAGAAGAAGAAGAAGAAGAAGAAGAAGAAGAAGAAGAAAGAAGAAAGAAGAAAAATGGGAAATATCTGAAGTTGAATTTGTCATGGAAGTATATATAAGGAGCAAGTTGCAGTTTTTAAAAATGTAAAAGGTAGGGCTGGGGAGCCAGCTCAGAGGACTAAGTGCCTGCGTAGGCAAGCGCAGGGATCAGGGTTTGATCCCAGCACCACAAACCATGCTGGCCCCATCCCTGGGTGCACTGAGCTGGCCACTGAGACCAGGCATGGTGGTGCACACCTATAACCCCAGTGTTGGGGAGGCTGAAAACAGAAGGATCACCATGAGGCCCTGTACCAAACACACTAAATGAATAAATAAACAAACACATACATAAATGTAAAAGGTAGCCTTGAAGCTTGGCATGATAGCACATGCCTGTAATCCCAGTAGTCAGGAGGCTGAGGCAGGAGGGTTGCTGTGAATTTGGGGCCAGCCTGGGCCACATAGTGAGTTCAAATCCAGTCTGAACTACATAGTGACTCTGCAAAAAGAAAAAGAAAAAGAAAAAAAAAGACCAAAAATTAATAAATAAAAAAGTAAGCTAAAGAGTTTAGCTGGGCATGGTGGTGCATACCTGTAATCCCAGCATCCTTCGGAAGGCTGAGGTACAAAGACTCCAAAATTCAAGTCCTGCCTGGGAAACTGAGCAAAACCTGTCTCAAAATAAAAAAAATAAAATAAAAATAAAAAGGAAAAAAAAAACAAAAAACAAAAAAACAGGGCTGGGGAGATGGCTCAGTAGTATAAGCACTTCCCTGGTAAGCACAAGGGCCTGAGTTCATTCCCCGGTTCCACAAAAACAAAAACTCAAAACAAAAGAAAAAAAAAACATAAAAAGGGCTGGGGAGATGGCTCAGTAGAACACGCGCTTGCCTGGCAAACAAGCACAAGGGCCTGAGTTTAATCCCCTGTTCCGGAAAAAAAAAAAAAAAAGGGCAGGGGCCATAGCTCAGTGCAAAGGACCTGCATTTAACTCCCAGACTACCACTCAGCAAAAAAGGGCAGGGGCCATAGCTCAGTGCAAAGGACCTGCATTTAACTTCCAGACTACCACTCATTTTGTATTTAATATAGGGTCCACAGGGTCTCACTGCACAGACTGGACTTGTAGTGATCCTCCTGTTTTCAGTCTCCCAAGTGCTGGGATTACAGGCGTGTGCCACCACACTTAGTCACCGTCTCAGCATGCCCTGGGGGTGAGGCAGGCACCAAATGCTGAGGATTGAACCCTAGCCCCTGGGTCTGCTCAAGCAGGCGCCTTAATCAGCTGAGCTATCTGGCCAACCCTCAAAAGGTTTAATTCTTTTTAAAAGCAACATATCTTTTATTTCCAGCTCCCAATAAACTTACTTCCTGTTATTCTGTCCAGCTGTAACCTATGGGTAGACTAAGAGGTATGTCCTCTACCTTGATGGATAAGCTACTATGTGATTTATATTTTAAAAAAGATTTTAAAAAGTCTACTAATAATTTTTTAAGTTAAATGTATTATATACTTAAGATTATTCTAGATTTTAATAAATTTGAACTTATTTACGAATAGATTTTGCTAATTTTGTATTCCTAAATAAATTTATTTACATAAATCATTTAAAATAGCCACGGAGGGGCCGGGGAGATGGCTCACTGGCAAGTGCAAGAGCCTGAGTTCAATCCCCGGTTCCACAAAAAAAAAATAAAATAAAATAAAATAAAATAAAATAAATAGCCACGGGACCAGGGATATAGTTCAGTGGTATAAGTACCTGCCTGGCAAACACAAGGACCTGAGTTTGATTTCCAGTACAAAAAAAAAAAAAAAAAAAAAGGCCCATAATTTATTAAATACTCAAATACTAAATACTAGTTATTATATTTATTTTATTTTGGACAATTTTTACTCTCCCCCATTTTGACTTTTGAGTATAATATTCTTAGTGAGTCTAAGCCAAGAAACATCCTACTTTTGGGTCAAGTTCATAGTTCACTTTTGTTTTTTTCAGTCCTGGGGATTAAACCCAGGACTCAGAGCCATTGCTCTAAGTAACACCTCCAGCTCATTTTTAAGTTTTAAAATTTTTATGCCCAGGCTGGTCTTAAACTTGGGCAGTCCCACTGCCCCAGCCTCCCAGGTGCTGGGATGACAGGCACATGCCACCACACTCGGCTAAATTTAGTGCTTTTGCACTAAAATTATATGTGTCTTGGGGACCAGGAGGAGTGAGGGGCAGACCACTAAATTTAGAGTGGAAAAATCTAGGTTCTGATTCCTGCTCTGACTCTTCAGAAGTCTGGGAGCACAGCCAGGTCTCTAGCCCTCTGCTCTTGTCCTTTCGCCATCAGAAGGGGTACATAGTGCAGTCCCTTTATTTACAGAGCTCTTGTGAGGATTACTTTTAAAAAAAAGCTGTATTCAGTTTTTAAAGCACAGAATTTTCCTGATTATCAGTGCGACTCCCCAAAGGAACAGCTGGAATGATACAGATAATCCACTTGCAGCAATTAAAGAGCAGGATAAAAACCAAAGCACGCACCAGGCATGGGGACGCACACCTGTGACCCCAGCACTGAAGCTGAGGCAAGAAGGCGCCGTGAGTTTGAGGCCAGCCTGCACTGCACAGCAAGTCCCAGCTCAAAAAAAGAAAACCTAAAAAACAAAAACCCACACACACTAAAATCCCCCTAAAACAACAATGTCAAAAGAACCAAAGGACAAAGAACCAGTGAATCAGAGCTAAACATTAATAATTCTTCTTCCTTTTTTTTTTTTTTTTAGAAAATCTTTCCCCT